TGTAATAAGCATCATCGGCGATTCCGTGACAGAATGCTCTTCTTTAATGGAAGCGATCTGGGTTCTATTCTCTACCAATACAATACTTCTTTCTTATTGAATATTCGAATTTATTATTATGTCAAACAGTCTGACCCCTTTTTTCCATTGGCATTCTGTGTCTAGCGCCCCGCGATCGATGTGGTCCCCCTACTTTCTGCCAGATCCATCCACCAGCCGAAAACCAATACTTTTTACCGATAAATATATTTATTCATATTGGGGAAATCAACCAATAATTACAAAATAAAATTGAAAACACATTTCTAAATGTACAAAGTCCATTGAGAATCTTTTTAAGCATGATGATAACTAACAGCATTGGTGAGAGCTCCTTGTCCACAATGAAAATTAATAAAAAATTGATTAAGAAGTACAACCCTTCAAGAAAGATTAATTGGTATGTCGTTAATAGAATGTGATATGCTCAAAGACATAGAATGATTTGATCATAACTTTTTAATAAACGGAATTTTAAGCACAGTTCCGAATTATATTACAATTATCTATTCATTTATTGTGATTGTTAAGAAACAAAAATAATAATAAAATTGAAAATACGTTTTCAAATGTAGAAAGTCCAAAAATAATTTTTTTAATAAATTTAGAATTTTGCTTATCAACTCTCAACTTTTTAGCTGTTTTAGCAAAATAGCCCTCTGTTAAAGTCATAGGGACCCAGTTAGTCGTATGTGCCCAGGGCCTCCAATAGGTCCTGCAAATAGTATATCTTTCAAATGAGGCACTTCAACGACTCATTCTAAAAGTATACACATTTGCTAACATACTCAACGAAGTGTTCCACTTGGTCTACATTGTTTCATAAATAATTTCATGTAGTTGCCTTTTGAAACATTTCGAGAAGAAAAATATTGGCAAATTACCAAGGGATGGTGGTGGAAAAAGGCATAATCTGTGTTACGAAAGCAAATGCTTCTTTATTAAAAGGAGCAGTTCTCAGTAATGTCTATATATAGGGTTGTTCGGAAAGTCATTTCGTTTTTTTTGTGGAAATGAAAGACAGTTTTCGTATAATAAACAAATACTTTATTAAATTATATATTGACCGTTCTGGTCCAACACCTTTTGTCATCTTTCTCGTAGTAGCATAATTCCACGCTCATAAAATTTTTGGTCTTTGCTGGCAAAAAACTGATCGAGGAGGTTTTTGACCTCCTCATTTGAGGTGAAGGTTTTACCGTCTAAAAAATTTTGGAGTGACCGGAACAAATAATAATCCGATGGTGCCAGGTCTGAAGAATATGGTGGGTGTAGCATTGTATCCCATTCGAGCTGTAAAAGCTTTTGGCGAGTGATCAAACTTGTGTGAGGTCTCGCGTTGTCTTGGTGAAACACTACACCTTTCCTGTTGATTAGTTCTGACCTTTTCTGTTGAAGTGCATCATTCAGTTTGTCCAGCTGATGACAGTAGACTTCCGAATTAATCGTTGTGTTATCCGGTAAAAGCTCAGAAAAAACGATTCCTTTAAAATCCCACCAAACAGACAGCATCACCTTTTTTTGGTGATTATCGGCTTTGGAAATGGTTTGAGCCGGTTCATCTTTTTTGCTCCATGACCTCTTGCGTTTGACGTTGTTGTATACAACCCATTTTTCGTCCCCAGTGATGATGCGCTTCAAAAACGGATCATTTTCGTGACGTTTGAGAAGCGAATCGCAGACGTCAATGCGGCGACACAGATTTCTTTCTGTGAGAACATGGGGAACCCATACATCCAGCTTCGAGGATAATCCCAGGCCTTTCAAGTGGTCATAAACTGTTGAATTTGATAAATTTAACCTCAATCCGATCTCACGTGTTGTTATTCGCCGGTTCACATCAACTAATGCCTTTATCGCGTCTTTATCAGCTTCAACCAGCCTTCCCGAACGTGGTGCATCTTCGACATCAAAATTGCCGGATCGAAATTTAGCGAACCAGTTCTGGCACTGGCGTACTGTCAACACACCTTCTCCATACACATCAGTCAATTTCTTTCTGGCTTGAACAGCATTTTTACCCTTTCTATAGTAAAACAGTAAGATATGTCGAAAATGATGCTTATCGCTCTCCATATTTAAAAGGGCACCAACCAAAAACTACTACGTAGAATTAATTGGAATTTTTCACACACAAGCCTTGCTATATGAACTCTCAAAGCGTATAAAAATTATACGGCTTAAATGCGAAGTTAGGTGCAAAAGAATACATGACAAAACGAAATGACTTTCCGAACAACCCTATAGAAACGATATAAAAAAAACTGTCGTCGCCGTGAGCTTTCCTGTACTACTTTTAAGTGTTTGATGTAGTCAAGTTTCAAAAGGCTTTTTTTACTGGGAGTTCGATTAAGAGCAAACAATTTTCTTTAAGATATCGCATTAGTAGTAATACTCCGAACAGTGTTCCCTACTGTATTATAAGTGGATCAATGATTTCAGGAAACCTTGAACATTTAAATTGATTTCTTTGCTTTGTTATGTAATCCTCTTAAGACGCTTGTTCTTCTATGTCCTGATCAATGAAGTTCGACTTTTTAAATATTTAAATAAAAAATACAATTGTTATTTCAGATGTAAAATACAAAATGTATTTCCCTTTTGTATTTTAAATGCTAAGTGCAATTTTCAAAATACTTTTGTGAGGTATCTATTTAATTTTCAAGAAGTTGACCTAGATTAGATAACTGAGGATCTGGGTTGTTTTACTTTTAGTTCAGGATATTAAAAAGCGGAGGTGCGTGTCCAACCAGTCTTAGGAGTGACGACCTTATGGTGATGATGATGATGATGATTTACATAAGTATAATATATTTTCGGAGAAAACCTTGCTCATTTTTAAATATTGGAGTTTTTCTAGATGAATAGTGGCGTTTGCACTAAATCACCAGCTGCGAAGATTGAGTGTGATTCATATTTTTCTGTTTGAAGTGATTGAGATATAGTTTTTCTATCTTTATATTAAAGTTTATTTAGTTCAACAACAAATAATTCTTCCTTATTTGCCTTTGCCACCCGTTGGAAAAAAGACACTGATGACAAAATAGTCTGCTTAGCATGAAACATCAGTGACAAAATAAGTTTGCAAATAATTTTATTGATGTAAAACATTTTATACAAAATATNATCAATCATTTTATATCAAAATATTTACAACCCCGTTTTGTTTCTGATCTTTTATACATTATAATAAGAGAAAGAAATGGAATCCATAGTTTCTTTAGCTTTGGGTTCATCTAATAAGTGAAGTTTTACGAATAGTTTTCTAAGAATTTTGGATTATAAGCATTTATTAGGACAAAACAATATTTTATAGTTTTCAGTTTTTTACACAGCTGGAGTATATCAATTCTATATTGTTTTGCGGGCTGTTTTGTGATAATTCATAGAATTTCGTAATTCGTTGCAAAAGGTACGATAAGTGGTGATTTGGCAGGTGCTGATATCAAATTGGAACTTCAAAATTCCATGGACCATGACATTAAACCCGGAGAACAATATCGTTCGAATATTTTAGATTATCCATTTCCAAGGTGTTTAGAATTTTGTGGACTCTCTTCAATTAAGAGGCATTCATGCAATGTCTCTTTACCCCCTTTTTAAGCTTCTAAAACCTTCAATAACCAATGTGAGTAACATCATCATTTTATATAATGTTTGATCGGTGATCTAGCAAAAGTGTTTTAGATAAAATACAAAGTGATTTTCTCAAAAAAGTATTTAAATGCAAGGTATTTTTTATTTTGTATTTGCATTTTAAATGCAGGTTTTTCAGATAAATCACATCTCAGCAACAAACATACCAAAACAATCAATTTAAATGTTTAGGGTCTCCTGACATGACAAGATCAAACTTATGAACTTTGTTATAAGCACCGACGATTCAGTGGCCCGGTTGCTACACTGGCGGCCGAACCGTCCAGATTGGATTATTATTATTACTACTAATGAATCCATAAATTACGTATTTTCAAACAAGCGAGTAAACGACACTGATTGTGAGACAGGCCTCGACTACATTACTTTTTACAATTAATAATAGCTATAAAAGCATCGGCTTAATGTATATTAGTTCTCCTATTTGCTTATGGCGCCGAGCTAAGAAAAAACTTGAAATGTTGTTTGGTCTGTGAAATTGTTTCGGTTCCATTGAAAAACGTGTCTTGGCAAAATTTATGGTCTCAATAACAAATGCAACTATGGTACAAAACTAATTTGGACAACTGCCTATATACATATTCGGCCGCGATAAATACAAGTTTGCATTTGATACTTTCATGATGGAATTTTTAGAAGGTCGTGAATGCGTGGACATTAGGTAAATATATATACAAGCCAAAAATATAGCCAGACGGTTTCGGATTTGATTCAAAAGTTTCGTAAATAGTTTAGACACTTCCTTATTCGTTTTATATAAATAATACTAAAGCTTCAAGTAACTAAACATTGGTTCACATGAAGTATGTTCCTTCAAAAATACACTGGATCTACGGTTCAAGAAGCACATTCTTCTTTTTGTACCCACATTGTCAACCAACTTTTACATTTTCCATGTGAAGCAATAGTTACAAGAGTCAGTTCTTTTCCCTTCAAAAATTAATACATGACATTTTTAACCGGGTAATAAAATTATGCCCAATTTGGAGTATCAACAAGACGCTTCAGATTCCTTTTATGAATCGAGGGAACGGCTGGGTGGTAATTGGAGTGAGCAAATGAGACTGTCGAAATGAAGAGAGAAGAAAATGAAAAATTTTGTCTGTGGAATAGTGATCCAAAGGAACCACAGGAAATCTTGGACCAGGGCGGACGAACTGGTAATCGAGCCCGTGTTCCACCGAATGCGAAGCAACTTTAAGGCTATGCCGCTAGATCATCGCTTTGTTCATCAATAATAAAATTATGCAGATACATATAGATCATGGAAGCAAAATAATAATGGCTTGAAGATTTTGACTTACCATCTTTTCTGTAGTACAAAATTTCGGCGTGTTTTTCGTTGCCTTCGTTGAGCGCGTCCCTGAGAGAAGAGATCGCCTGTTGGGAGGTAAGAGGTCCACAAAGGAACTCGCATGAGGCCGTCTTCTGCATCACTTCCGCCCGCGAATAGCCTGTCAATCGACAGAAACCGTCCGAACAATAGATAATGTGACATTGTCCCCCTCTGCTGTTCGCTACCAAAAATGAACGATCTGAAACAGAAACACAAAGCAACTATTAAAAAATAAGTAGAAATAAACGAAAAAAAGAATAGATATCTAATAAGAACGTTGTAGTTATCGAAACTATCAAAAGCGAATTACTTGGAAATATTTTAATGGCAGCAAATATCCAATAGATGGCGATGCAGTGCCAATAATTATCTACTTTGCTTATGTCGCTTCTTATGCGAAATAGAAAGAATAGAATGCGGCATTAAAACCTTCGACTGTGAACTGTTGTTTGTTTACATATGACTGCCTCATTTGAACAAATTGAGTATTATTATATTTATCGAATTTACAAGAACTTTATGTATAGTACGTATAGAGGCCATTGCTTTTTGCTTATAAAGAATATTATAGTACCTAAATCTTTAACATAGAATAAACTTAATTTTCGGTTTAGAACTGAGCACCGTACTTATATCCATGCGAGTTTGCCAGGGGATTTACGTACAGGATATATTACAGTATGAAATATTAATCACCTGATCTAGTGAAAAATCTTCTGCATATCTAACACATTTTGCCCGAAGTAAGAAAATATTGATTTTCATCAGCAGAGAATCTCTGGTGTGCTTATACGGGATTACGCCCCTTCGTGAGTTTCACTTACGAGAAAGCTTCTTATTTTTTTCACTGTCTGGCTTGTCTATTACAAGAACATCGTCTAATAACTTCTTATTGCACATCGAGGAAAAAAGGTAGAACTGATGAAATTCTATTAGTTCTTGCGACTTATCAAGAATATGTATGATGCATTTTTCCAGCATCTAATAATTTAAAATGAGCTACGAATAACTACATCTATAAATCTGTTTTGGAATTTTTCCTATCCAAACGTTTAGTTATCGTGGTGATGGAGCTAGGAGTAATTCATGACAATCGACACTGAAGATACTGTCGCTGAAGTGTCTAGAAATAACAAATTCCATGGACAATTGAAAGGATTGGAACCATAATAGCGTTGTTAGCTTTAGATGAAGAAAAAACACAGTCAACAATCTTTCTTTTATTTTCAATCCGCTACGGTATGCGTTCGGAAAAGTGAGAGAGTAGCAATTCCATGTGTTTATCAATTGCGAACTAAAATCAGTTCGCAACATTCACCTAGCTTATTGAAAGTTTTGGAGATCCTAATTTCGAACCCAAGCAAATTAACATCGTTCGGATTTTGAGGTTACACCATTTAAGAATCTTGATGCGCTGCGTTGGAGCGATTCTTAGAATTCGACATCACATGTGTTTACTTTTCCGATTTCAACCTTACACTCTACAAAATACTTCTACCAAAAATTGCAGTTTTGGAGGTTTGAGGCTATGTTGCCCCAACAACCGTAGATGTTGTTAGATTCAGATTCAGTGTCAGATCTCTGATTCCAACATTCTGACAAGTGTATCAAATTGATATAACTGCTTTAACTGCTTTCCTAAGTTTTTCTGACTTTAATCTTTAATTCATCCTTATTTATTTAAAACATCTCTAAATCTAAGAACAAAACACATCATCCCGCAGGTTGATGAGTTTCAAATAATGGCGTTCAACGATTTAAACTGAACAACTTTCAAGCCCAAGTCATCTGTTAAGGATGTTTGTGGAGTGTTCAAAGTTTAATTAGGTCAAAGTAAAGGAGTAGTATTTTAGGAATTAATGTCAAATCTTGCATTTCACGCTGTTTACATAAACATCTCTCTGTTGTCAGTTGCAGAGGGCTGACAATTTCCGACGCTTTAGATAACATCCCCTTTAATTAATTGTAATTGTTTCTTTGTTTCTCCTCAACCGCCTACATTTCAATAATTGTCAACCTATTGTTAACTATAAAGGACCCTGCAGAAAATCAATAGAATGCGTTAATCGGTCAAATCGGGTCATAATCATCATCAGAAAGTCTTCAAGCTAAAGACTGTATGGATCAAGACATAATAGAATATAGTAAGCAAGTTTCATGTTGCCCTGTGCATGGTGGTGAGATGTAAGATGAAAAATAGTGAAACCGCCTCTGCCCTCTTCATCTTTATTAAATTATGCTTTTGATTGATCGGCACCGCTGACTACAAGAGTGTACATCAAACAAAAAAAAATAATTATAGTAGTGAGTTTCTTTATTCCTTTTCTTTTTTGACGTGACAACGTCTTAAAATTTTGATGGAGCCGGCTGCACGCACGAAAAAACATGACTCATGCGGCGTTACCTCGCTCTGAGGCGTTCCATTTAAGGCTTGAAGTGCAAGCGAGAGCGCGGAACGAGCGACAAAGAGGCACAATCTGCCTCCGCGTTCGGCAGCGTTCGACATCTGTCTCTCTCCTACTTGAGTGAGCGATGCGTCCGCGTGGATAGCTGCTATACAATAATACATTTCCATTTACCTCCTTCTCTATATCCATACAAAATATCTAACAAATACAATTAAAATTTTCTTTTGAAAAATGAAACCATTCCATCAGTATTTTCTTATGACGTTGTCACGTTCAACTATCGTCAGTAAACCGACTTTACAGACGACCGATTTTTTTTATCTCTGTTTCTACCACAACTTTATGTAAAGCCAATATTAATAGGTATGTATTTTAATACAACTCAAAATACAAATCGATTTATTTTTCAATTCTTTTTTTCTTTTAAATATTGACTAAAGCCAAATTGTGCAAATCAAAGACTAATCATTCAATGCAACATAGTGTCTGTCACTAATGTATATGATTGACGCTTTTAATGCAAACTATAAAACTCTTTGAAGTAAAGCATCAAAGGATCGAGTGGGCTGAAGCTTCAATTTTGTTTGATAATAATTCATACATCACGGACATTAATAATAGGTTCGGTTTTGAGCAAAAATAGATCAATTAATGGGTAAATGTAAACGTTATCATGTGTTATTATAAATATGCCAAAAATCTTTCCGTCATTCTATTCTTTGCTTGTAAGCAAATAAGCAGTGACTTCTTTGTATGTCACCTTTAAATGAATAAATAATTAATTTTCTGTATATGTGACAAGATGTTAAATTATACTTAACAATGTAGGTATGAACTACAGAGATAGAAGAGTGATACTTAGTTTGTATAATGAGCAACAGGCAGTTAGGAAGGGATTTAGTCAGGGATGCACAATGTCACCGCTACTTTTTAATCTATCCGTCGAATACAGTAAAACTGTAGGGATAGATATACAGGAGCAAAAGATTAGTATGTTTAGATTTGCAGATGATATAGCAGTATCAGCATCTAGCAGGGAGGAGTTAGAGATAGCTTTAAATAAAATGGAAGTGGTATTGACAGAACAGTATTGTATGAAAATAAACAAAAGTAAAACAAAAATATTGGTATGCAAGGGAAAGAGCGAATATAAAGATAGGAGACGAAAGATTAGAAGAAGTTGCTGATTTCAGGTATCTGGGAAGTCAGATAAGTCAGGACGGAAGGAGTAGTAGGGATATAAATATTCCACAGATAATCTTTCACTCTCTTCTGTCTTCATTTCATCCGTCTCATCTTGCTCACCCGAACCACCACCCATCCATTCCCACGATTCCTGAAAGGAGGCTGAAGAGGGCCTTCCGCCCTACCTTCTGGCGTAGTCCGGAGGGACTGCCCGCCCACCAGCATTACTGGCTGGTGGGAATGAAACACCCAAAAGTTTTTCTTTTTTTTATATAGTCAGTTTTTGGATTGACGACCTTATGATGATGATGATGATGATTATTATATGAGAAGCTTTAAGTCCGATTCATATTACACGTGATGGCAGAAGTATAATCATGGTCAAGTCATGAACAAGACTTTTCCGAAGCATTCACACTTCACAGCCAGGTGATGATCTTGCATGATGCTTAGCGAGCATGTTTTCCCAAAAACACATTAATGAATGTGGCGATCGTTTTGGATGAAGAAGAACAATCCCATCGGCGATTGGGTTCATTCTATATTTAGATAAACCCAAGAGGAAAAGGAAATTTTCAACTCTGAACAATTGATGAATAATCAGGCGAAAATTTGTAGATATTTCAGAATGTCTCATTCTGAAGTTCAATAGTTATATCCTATTTTAAAAAGTGATTTGGCAAAGCAGGGCACGACTTTTCCAGGGTCCAATATGTTACCCGATTCATGATTCACGCTGAACAGACATAGGAACGTAATTCTGTAATTTTCGAATATGTTACGTCATTTTAATAAATAATTGTTCGATTGTTTTAATGATTTTCGATAATTTCTAATTAGATAAAGGCATACTTTTTACTTTGTTTTACACGGGAATTAGCTTCCTTTCAATTTGGCAACCGGCCAGCCGAAAATCTCATTAATAGATAGATGTCCTGGCGAAGAAGCGGGCGATCTAATACATTTTAAACCTTAAGCTGATGACTTTCGTTCATGTTATTTATTAAACAGGTCGCGGCAGATTAGTGTACAATATTACAGCATCGGTTATGTACAACGTACTCTTACATAATCCTTTATAGGACCAGATGTGGACCCTCCTTACCGAACTCTTCGTTGCTAGACAGCAAGTACCGATATTCTATGTGCGCTTGTTGAATAATCTCGCGAAATTTGTAATGTTGACATTATTAAGAAATTTCCATAGTTTGAGTCGATCGCAAGGACGTAGCCACGGTTGAGCTCTGGTGAGCCACAGCATAAGTCCTGACCCACTAGCTTGCCATCCTGAAAATTAACTTAAAAATTTAAACTTTAACCATTCAGCTTCGTATAACCGCTTTGCTCAATTCAAAACTATACGGCATTTTTATTTAGAAATACATATATCAATTACTTTGACCAAGTGGAAAACTTTACATTTTTTTTTTCTGAATGAATACCACTGCTGAATTATCTACCCATGAAAAGTTCACTTTCTGACTAAGGAAAAAAACTTTTGGGTGCTTCATTCACATCAACCACTAATGCTGATGGGCGGGCACTCCCTCCGGACTACGCCCGAAGCTAGGGCGGAAGGCCCTCTTCAGCCTTCTTTCAGGAATCA